CAGACATGCATGAGATGCTAACCAAGGATTCCTCTCACCCTCCCTGCAGAAATCTTGCACTTTACAAAAAGTTGCCCCTCTTCTGTTATTAATAAGGAGGCAAAGGTATGGATACATTAATTACATTTATGCATACAAGCATAAGAGAAGCCAGTGTTGGATCAGGCCAATGGCCCATCCAGTCCAACACTCTGTGTCACACAGTGGGGGCCAAAAACACCAGGTGCCATCAGGAGGTCCAGTAGTGGGGCCAGGACACTAGAAGCCCTCCCACTGTTGCCCCCACCCCCAAGCACCAAGAATACAGAGCATCACTTGCCCCAGACCGAGAGTACCTCTCTATACCTTATGGCTAAGAGCCACTGATAGACCTCTGCTCCAGGTGTTTATCCAATCCCCTCTTGAAGCCGTCCCTGCTTGTAGCCTCCACCACCTCCTGTGGCAGTGAATCCCATGCTACTAGGGCGTCCAAACTACAGAAGATCAGTCCCCTTGGAGAAAATGGCTGCTTTGGAGGGTGGACTCTCACTGAGTTCCCTCCCTTCCTCGAACCCTGTCCTCCCCTGGCTTCACCCCCAAGTCTCCAGGAATTTCCCAACCTGGAGTTGGCAACTTTAGTTGTTACCCATCCCAGGTTGGCGAGGGGACTCCTAGAATCACCCCTTGGTGACTATTGTAGTGTCTGCAGGCGTTCTGCAGTAGTGGTTAAGTGTGCGGACTCTAATCCGGGAGAACCGGGTTTGATTCCCCCACTCCTCCACTTGCACCTGCGGGACGACCTGGCGCAAGCCGTAGTTCTCTTAGAGCTGTTCTCTCAGGAGCAGTTCTGGAAAGAGCTCTCTCAGCCCCACCTCCCTCACAGGGTGTCTGTTGTGGGGAGGGGGAGGGAAAGGAGTTTGTAAGCCACTCTGAGACTCCTTCAGGTAGTGAAGGGCGGGGGTATAAATCCAATCTCTTCTTCTATTGCGGACCAACAGGGTTACCCTCGGATACTAACTTAGTTGTACAAGCAGAACAGAGTTTGAGTCCAGTGGCACCGTTAAGACCAACCAAGTTTATCCAATCTCTTCTTCTCTTCTTCTCTTTTTCTGGCCAAAGCGTGGGGGAGGAAAGATACACGTATTCCCCCCTCCCGCCATCCCAGCAAAGAGTGTAACACCACGACTTTGTAAATGATGCTGCGCTCCTTAAGGGTAGGAGGGGGACATTTGGAGGGGCGCGTGAAAGTCAACAAGCCTTTACATTGGGGGGACTGTACAGCAGCTGTGAGACGAGGCCGCCTTAGTTTTACAGGAGCCGGATTCGAGTCCCGTGCAGCACCTTAGAGACCCACGAGAGGGGTTTTTTTTTGGGGGGGGTATAGGCGTTCGAGAGCCAAAGCTATTTTTGTGAAATATCTGACAAAGTGAGCGTTGACTCTCAAAGGCTCATAACCCTGAAAATCCTCTTGGTCCCTAAGGTTTTGAATCTGCCTCTTCTACTGTGGACCAACAGGGCTAAGAGAGTGGACTCTAATATGGGAGAACCAGGTTTGATTCCCCACGCCTCCACGTGCAGCTGCTGGTGTGACTTTGGGTCAGTCACAAGTTCTCTCAGAGCTGTTCTCTCAAGCGCAGTTCTCTCAGAGCTCTCTCAGCCCCGCCTCCCTCACAGGGTGTCTGTTGTGGGGAGGGGAAGGGAAAAGAGATTGTCAGCCGCTCTGAGACTCCTTCGGGTAGTGAAGGGCGGGGTATAAATCCAATCTCCTCTTCTTCTATTGCGGACCAACAGGGTTACCCTCAGAAACTGACTTAGTTGTACAAGCAGAACAGGGTTTCAGTCCAGTGGCACCGTTAAGACCGACCAAGTTTTATTCTGGGTGTAAGCTTACACCCAGAATAAAACTTGGTCGGTCTTAACGGTGCCACTGGACTCAAACTCTTTTCTGCTGATTCAGACCGACACGGCCAACCCCCTGTTTTGTTTTTTTCAATATCTATTTTTATTTCCAAATTTTCCAACTAACAAATCACAAACAAAGCCAGAAAGCTATGGAGGGGACATTGAAACCAGAACCACCATAACAAATACAAGGTAATTCAGGAACAGAGACTGCTAACAATGTGAAAGAGAAAAGTGCAGCATTTTAAAAAATCTATTTCCAGGTGAAGATTAGAACAGAATTCTGACTAGACATGTTCAAACATTTAACAGTCATCGCCAACGCTCCCTCTAAGCTGTGGAGTCTTGTGAGCAAAAATTCCACTTTGTGAACTACTGGCATTCAAGTTGAGAGCCAGCGATTCGGCTACTGCATACATTAGTTTGCTCCGGAGCCCTCCTTCCTAAGACAAAAATCTGTGAGCTGGAGGCTAAAAAACTGTGAGCTGGCTCACACTAACTCAACTTAGAGGGAACACTGGTCACAGCTTTACAAGGTGACTCTGCCAATGGCGTACATTCCCAGTTACACATAACGACATTTTAATAGCAGCACCCCCCTGAATCTATCTTAGTTGTACAAGATTCGTGGAAGAACAGTTCTTTTTTAAAAAAAATGCACTCCAGGTAGCCACTTGAGAGGTATGTGAGCCCCACCCACCCCCAAAAACCCCGTGCTGTCTTTGAACCCCCAACTGTCCTCCCCAATAAATGGCCCCGCACACCAGATCCTTGGCAATCCTAACCCATCCCATAATTTCCTCTCCTGCATAGCCGGTGTGGCCCCTAAGTAAGAGGAAAACTGTAATGATACCATGTTTTGGTGTGTGTGTTCCTTTAAATGTTTAGTTGGACAGCAGTACGATAAGGAGAGTGATAGAGGGAGACAAGTGTGATTTTGATTGGCTGCTGACTGAGAGTGTGGGAGGAGGGGTGTCCGAGAGGATCCTGTGTGTGTCTATGAGGAGATTCTGGGATATGAGAGAGACAAGTATGGAAGAGTTTTGAAGAGAGTCTGTGTGACTCTGAGAGTTTTGAAGGATTCTGTGTGTGAAGTTTGAAGAGAGAGCATAGTCTGTGTGATTATAGGATTTGGAGTCTATTTCTGAGTGAATAAGACCAACAGTTTAGTCTGTGTGACTAAGAGAGTTGTTCCTGTTCTGTGTGAATAAGACAAACTAGCCTGTGTGGCGATATCTCCCTTATATATAAAAGCCGAATGGTGGTGGCACTTCTCTAGAACATTCCACACGCTCCGGAATTGGACCAGAAACCTATTTTGTTCTTTATTAAATAAATGAGTTTTTGTTTACACTTATCCCAGAAATCAGTACAGTACTTCCTCAGGGCCACATAGTCCTCTGAAGTGCCCAGACCCTAGGTCATACTACCAAAAGAGAGAGATTTGGAATTTTTAATTCCTGGTGGCAGCAGAAAACGACCAAGTTTATACACACAGAGAGTGTAAAACCGTCTCCCCAAATAGCAAGCACGCCACAAAAACCCTTCTGCACATAACCCATATCCTTTCCCCTGGAGACCCTCCACCCCACAAATACCCAAGTGGAGTCTGCCTGTTGATAAGCGGGTGCAGAAATGTTTGTGGGTGTTTTTGTAAGGTAGTGCATAACCACTGTGTGAGCATTAGGGTTGCCAGCTGACCTGGAAAAATCAGCCTGGTCTGCTCTTGCACTTTTAGTAGCAGGTGGCGAAGATTTTCATGATGTGCACAGAGGCAATTTCATTTGCGCCCATGACAAAGGCAGCGGGCAGGGTGTGTGCAACCTGTGTGTGTGTTCTTGGTATCAGTTTGAGAGCTCTGGTGTTTGCAAGCAGACGTGCCGTTGTGTCTTTTTGCAGCGGCAGGGACTCCCGCCACTGAAGCCGTTTTGCAGTTTGACGAACCAGGAAGGAGGCCAAACAATCCGAATGTTAACGTTTTTAAGTCCGGGAAAATCCAGGCCACCAATTCATTCGTTTTGAATTAAAATATCCGAGAGTGGAAATAAGCAGTCTATCCAAGGCAGTGATTCATATATATTTGAAGGAAAAGTCCTGTAAGGGTTCTCGTCCACTGTGAGCTAGGAGGCTGGGCAGCGTGTCAGCAGAAGTTCAGTCTTGCACATGGGATGCGGACAGGGGTGCCAACCAATGCTCCCTCTGCTAGGAGGCTTGGCAGCGTGTCAGCAGAAGTTCAGTCTTGCACATGGGATGCGGACAGGGGTGCCAACCAATGCTCCCTCTAAGCTGCGGGGTCTTGCGAGCAAGAATCCTACTTTGTGAGCTGCTGGCAGTAAAGTTGTGAGCGAGCGGTTTGGCTCCTGCATAAATTACTTTGCTCCGTAGCCCTCCTTCCTGAGCGGAGACAAAAATGTGTGAGCCGGAGGCTAAAAAAAAAAGTGAGCTAGCTCACACTAACTCAGCTTAGAGGGAACACTGGTGCCAACTTCTAGGTGGGACCTGGATATCTCGCGGAATAACAGCTGAGCTCCAGATGATAGCGATGAGTTCCTTTGGAGGGAGAATTCCACGACATCATTCCCTTCTGAAGCAGTGTTCCCTCTAAGCTGAGTTAGTGTGAGCTAGCTCACAGGTTTTAGCCTCTGGCTCACACATTTTTTTGCCTTAGCTCAGGAAGGATGTGGCTCCAGAGCAAACTAATTGATGCAGCAGCCAAATCGCTCGCTCACAACTTTAATGCCAGGAGCTCAGAAAGCAGAATTTTTGCTCACGAGACTCCACAGCTTAGAGGGAGCATTGTTCTGAAGTCCACCCGCTTCTCCAAACCCCACCCTCCCCAGGATCTACTCCCAAATCTCCAGGAACTCCCCAACCTGAAGCTGGCAACTGTAGGCACCGATTTGGAGGGGGTCAGTCCAATGCAAAAAAAACCCCAGTGTTTGCATCTGCTGAGGTTCCATTCCCAGCAGAGTTATCAGACGTGGTCGACATCAGTGTTCCCTCTAAGCCGAGTTAGTGTGGGCTAGCTCACAGTTTTTTAGCCTCCGGCTCACCCATTTTTGTCTTGGCTCAAGAAGGATGGGGCTCCAGAGCAAACTAACTGATGCAGCAGCCGAATCGCTCGCCCACAACTTTCCTGCCAGCAGCTCACAAAGTAGGATTTTTACTTACAAGACGCCACAGCTTAGAGGGAGCTATTGCTGGCCGTTAGGACCAGGTCACTCTGGCTTCCTGTCACGTCCCCCGCGACAGCCCTTGAAAGGCGAAGGAGCTGCTGACCGCTAAAGGAGAGAAGGGGGCTGGCAGGAGTCCCCAACAAACCCCCGCCTCACCTTTCTTTCTCCCCCTTCAGAGATTGTCCGGGCCATGACGTACGTGATCAACCAGGGGATGGCCATGTACTGGGGCACGTCTCGCTGGAGCGCCATGGAGATTATGGTAAACGCCGGATCGCGGGGTGCTGCGCGCTTGGTGGGGCCGTGGCTCAGCACTAGAGCATCTGTTTAACATAAGGACATCAGAGAAGCCAATGTTGGACCAGGCCAATGGCCCACCGAGTCCAACACACTGTGTCACAACAGCGGCCAAAAATACCAGGTGCCCTCAGGAGGTCCAGCAGTGGGGCCAGGACACTAAAAGCCCTCCCATTGTTGCCCCCCCCAAGCACCAAGAATACGGAGCATCCCTTGCCCCAGACTGAGAGTTCCTATCTATACCTTGTGGCAAATAGCCACTGATGGACCTCTGTTCTTAACATAAGGACATAAGAGAAGCCAATGTTGGATCAGGCCAATGGCCCACCCAGTCCAACACACTGTGTCACACAGTGGCCAAAAACACCAGGTGCCCTCAGGAGGTCCAGCAGTGGGGCTAGGACACTAAAAGCCCTCCCACTGAGCGCCAGTTTGGTGTAGTGGTTAAGTGTGCAGACTCTAATCTGGGAGAACCGGGTTTGATTCCCCACTCCTCCACTTGCACCTGGCTGGATGACCTTGGGCAAGCCGTAGTTCTGACGAGCTGTTCTCTCAAGGACAGTTCTGGAAAGAGCTCTCTCAGCCCCACCTCCCTCACAGGGTGTCTGTTGTGGGGAGGGGAAGGGAAAGGAGTTTGTAAGCTGCTCTGAGACACTTTTGGGTAGTGAAGGGCGGGGTATAAATCCAATCTCTTCTTCTATTGACCCCCCCCCCCATGCACCAAGAATACAGAGCATCACTTGTCCCAGCCTGAGAGTTCCTATCCGTACCTTGTGGCTCGTAGCCACCAATGGACCGCTGATCCATGTGTTTATCCAATTCCCTCTTGAAGCTGTCCATGCTTGTAGCCACCACCCCCTCCTGTGGCAGTGAATTCCATGTGTGAATCACTCTTTGGGTGAAGAAGAGCTTCCTTTTATCTGTTCTAACCCGACCGCTCAGCAATTTCATGGAGTGCCCAGGAGTTCTTGTCTTGTGAGAAAGGGAGAAAAGTACCTCTTTCTCGACCTGCTCTATCCCAGGCATAATCTTATAACCCTCGATCATGTCACCCCTCAGCCGTCGTTTCTCCCAGCTAAAGAGCCCCAGGCGCTTTAACCTTTTAACCTTGGCATGCAGAAGGTCCCAGGTTCAGTCCCCGGCATCTCCAGCTAAAGGAATCGGGGAGTAGGTGATGGGAAAGACCTCTGCCCGAGAAACCCTGGAGAGCCGCTGCCGGTCAGAGTAGGCAATACTGACCTTTACAGACCAAGGATCTGTTTGGGGAGGGGCCATGGCTCAGGGGTAGAGCACCTGCTTGGCATGCAGAAGGCCCCAGGTCCAGTCCCCGGCATCTCCTGCTAAAAGGATCAGGTGGTAGATGATGAGAAAGCCCTCTGCCTGAGGCCCTGAAGAGCAGCTGCCAGTCGGAGTACCAGGGCTATTTTTGGGCAGGAACGCACAGGAACGGAGTTCCGGCTGGCTCCCGAGTTGGCCACGCCCAGCAGGAACTCATTAGCATAATAAGCCACACCCAACAGCTACATTAGGGGTGTGTGGCCTAACATGCAAAGGAGTTCCTGCTATCAAAAAAGGCCCTGGGTTTTGACAACAAACAAGGTAAACAGAATGGCAAGCAAAAGGTGGGTGTGGCTGGATGACCACACTTCTGGTAACATGGGGGTCTGGCCTAATGTGCTAATGAGCTGTGCTGTCAGGGGTGTGGCCTAACATGCTAATACGTTTCTGTTGTCGGGTGTGGCCTGTTAGGCTAATGAGTTCCTGTTGAGCTTTTTCTACCAAAAGAGCCCTGAAGTAGACAATACTGACTTTGATGGACCCAGGGTCTGATTCAGCCGAAGGCAGCTTCAGGTGTCCCTGTGTCCTGTGCGTGTCCGCTTTGGAATAAAGCCTGGTTTGTAGGTATAGAGAAGGAGGCGGCAGAACGGTGGGCTCTGTGGTTGTCAACGTCCAGGCATGGCCTGGAGATCTTCCGGAATTACGACTGAAGTTGGTTCACCTGGAGATAACGGCGGCCTTTGAAGGGTGGACTCTGTGGGCCGTAGACCCTGCAGAGGTCCCTCCTCTCCGAGGTTGCCAGCTCTGCATTGGGGGACACCTGGAGATTTGGGGGGTGCATGTAATGGGGAGGGGAGCAACCTCAGCGGGGCACGACGCCACAGAGTCCACCTTTACTCCAGGGGTGCCGATCGCTTGTCACCCGGAGATCAGTTGTAATAGCGGGGGGCCTCCAGCCACCGCCTGCAGGTTGCAAACCAAGGATAGAGATCACAGGAAGGAAGTGGAAAAGGAAATAATAATAATCTTTCAATTTATTGATCGCTCAATCCTGCAGAGCTTGCTGGCTCTGAGCGATTTACAGTTACTCATTATGACGAGGGACTCACAATGATTTGTGGGGTAGGGGAGGACAACATATATACATCTTAATTCACACACATTCGCAGCCGACGAGGGTTTCGTTCAGTTGAAGATGAGACGTGATCCGGACGGTATTTTTCCTCGGCCTGGTTTGATGGCGTCAGCTCTCTCCAGACTCCTTCGAGTTGTTGCGCCGCACTGCCACCGCCTGGCCGGAACGGCCCATTACAGGCTTTCTTCATGCCGAGGAGATCTCTCTAGGCTTTCCGATCTTGCGAGCTGGACTTCCGTTCGCCAGCTAACACTGCTCCCCCCCATGGGGGTGTGTGTTTCAGTGTGCCCACTCTCTAAGAGCCGTGATATATTATGCCACCAAAGTCTCCGAAGACTAGAAATGTCTTTTTCCAATGTTCAGAAGAAGAAATCTCTAGTCTCTGGAGACTTTGGTGGCATACTATATCACGGCTCTTTGTTCCCTTTCTCACCGCCTGGAGGTTGGCAACCCGGCTGTTCCACAAAACCCTGCCCTCCCCAGGCTCCACCCCCCCCCAAAACAAAATCTCCCAAGAATCTCCCACCCCTTATTAGTGTGCTCCACTGCAGAGACTGCAAGGTAGTGGGTTCCGGTCCCGAACGGTCCTTTCGCATTTCAAAAAACGCCTGCGGATAAGGACGCACGAGGCAAGCCTCTCTGCCGCTTTTTGACCGACGGGGAGGTCTCGGCACGAGGGGGCATCCCGAAACGTGGCCCTCTGGGGACCCGTGTCCGTGTCTCTGCCACGTCCTTTCTCGGCACGCCCGACCCAGCTCCAAGCCCCCCCCCCCCCCTACCCTCGAGGGCTCTTCCGTTTCTGATTGGCTCCCTTCCCTCCCAAACCAGGAGGCCTATTCGGTAGCCCGGCAGTTCAACCTCATCCCCCCGGTCTGCGAGCAAGCCGAATACCACATGTTCCAGCGGGACAAGGTGGAGACCCAGCTCCCGGAGTTGTACCACAAGATCGGTAAGTGGGGGGTAAGACACGAGGCGGAGCGTTGGTCATGTTTTATTGGAGGGCGGCTAAGGTGTGTGTGCGTGGGGGGGGGGAGCTATGGACAAGCAGAGGGGTCTGTAAGCTGCATCTTTTTGGACCTGCAGGCCTCTTTGGGATTCTGAAACCAGGCGGTGGGCTCAGTCACAAAATGGCTGCCACAGGAGGCAGAGCTAGGGATCCCAAGTCACCGCCCCATCGCCCATTCGCCGGCGCCGCCGGATCAGGCCCCGGGGGGAACTCCACGCCGACGTGCGCGTCACCCGCCACGGCCATACAAGTGAAAACTCTATGGTTTTCCCTTGTATGGCTGTGGCCCCTCCCCCCAACATGCCTGGCGTCCTCCCGTCACTTCCGGCTGACGTGCGTGCGGCGCGTGCACACAAGACAGACACCAGCCGGGAGCCCCCCGCTCCCGGCGAAGATAGACTTGGCAACGCTAGGCAGAGCCAGCCACAAAATGTCAGCGAGCCAGGTTATGTCTGACTCGGAACAGTCACTCTTCGACATTCCAAGCAGGAACTCTGTTTCGCAGGACGCCTTTTCATTGGCACAGTCAAGCACAAGGCCTGCTGGAGGAACCTTGCCCCTCCTCGTCTCCGGAAGCCCTTGGCCGGCACTGGGAAGGGTGTCAGCAGGCGCTGTGAGGCCCGTGGGGACCCCTGATCTAGGTGTCGTGACAGACCAAAGGAGAGGGAAGGAGATTCAGGGGCACAAGGGGGAGGATTCTGCTTGGCAGGGACGGACGGACAGGGATTTGTGGACTGCAGTCTATGGGAAAGCAAAGTTGGGGGGTACAGGAAGAAGAAGAGGGGAAGAGGAGGTGGAGATTGGATTTATACCCCACCCTTCACTACCCGAAGGAGTCTCAGAGCGGCTGACAATCTCCTCCTCCTCCCCCTCCCCACAACAGACACCCTGTCAGGTAGGTGGGGCTGAGAGAGCTCTCTTGAGGACTGCTCCTGAGAGAACAGCTCTAAGAGAGCTTTGTGGCTGACCCAAGGTCACACCGGCAGCTGCATGTGGAAGCGTGGGGAATCAAACCCAGTTCTCCCAGATCAGAGTCCTCACTCTTCGCCACTGCGCCATTGGCAAGGAGAGTCCGTGGGTAATATTTCAGTGAGTCTCAGGAGGAGGAGGAGGAGAAAGGAGGAGTCCCTTTTCCCCTCCTCCTCCTCACCGTCTGCCTTGCCTGTTTGCTCTCTCAGGGGTGGGGGCCATCACGTGGTCCCCGCTGGCGTGCGGACTCATCACCGGGAAATACGAGGAGCGGGTGCCGGAGAATTGCCGGGCTTCCATGAAGGTATGGTCCCCTCGCATTGCCCTCCTTGGACCTCGGTTGAATGTGCAACGACCCCGGTCCTGTAAGCGTGCAACGACCCTGCAGGATCCGGGTGGATCTTGTTCCGCCGAACATTCCCTCGAACCTCCAACCGAACCATCCCGCGTGGTCGGTATCTCCGGCGAAAGAAGCCGTCCTGCCTGCCCGTTAGAGAGATGCACCATCTTTATCCTAACAGCCAAACAAGCGAGGTCCCTTCTTGCTCTTAGTCACTGGGGAAAGGGAATGCACTCTGCACATGCTGGATCAGGTGCCTCTTCCTCCTCACTGGGGTCGCTTTGGATGTTCCAGGCTGTGATGCGGAACTGAGTTCCGTGGCCCGAGTGAAACCAGAGTCTCCCTCCTTTGCTTTAGCCCAAACTGGTTTAATCTTGTTGGCTCTTGGAAGCTAAGCTGGGTCAGCCCAAGGATGGGGGACCACCGAGGAAGTCTGTGTTTGCCACACAGAGCCCAGCAGTGGCCGGCCACCTCTCTTCGTCTCTTGCCTTGGAAACCCTACGGCAGAGTTCCCCGACATTTCTGAGCCTGTGGGCACCAGTGTTCCCTCTAAGCGGAGTTAGTGTGAGCCAGCTCACCGTTTTTTAGCCTCCAGCTCACCCATCTTTGCCTTAGCTCAGGAAGGAGGGCTCCAGAGCAAACCGATTTCTGCAGTAGCCCAATCGCTCGCTCACAACTTTAATGCCAGCAGCTCACAAAGTAGAATTTTTGCTCACAGGACTCCACAGCTTAGAGGGAACATTGGCTGGGCACCCTCGGGGTTTTGAGAGGGAGTGGTGAGCGCCAGTGTGTTCCCTCTAAGCGGAGTTAGTGTGAGCCAGCTCACCGTTTTTTAGCCTCCAGCTCACCCATCTTTGCCTTAGCTCAGGAAGGAGGGCTCCAGAGCAAACTAATTTGTTTGTGCAGCAGACACATTGCTCACTCACAACTTTCATGCCAGTAGCCCACAAAATAGAATTTTTGCTCACAGGACTCCACAGCTTAGAGGGAGCCTTGGTGAGCGCCACCCCAAAATTCTGCTGCAGGAGGTGAAGCCAGACCCAAAATGGCTGCATCTGGAGGCGCAGCCAGAAAGAATACCTCCCTCCTCCTCCTCCCTCCTGGGAAGAGAGAAAGACAGAAGGGAGACTGGAACCACACACAGACTAAGGAAAGCCCAGGGACTTACCCGTGGCCCTCGTCCCTTTCATTTGAATGAATGAAGGCAGACAGTAACAAGCCCTGCCTTACTGTGGCCCTGCCCACTTAGTAAAAAGCTTGGCGGGTGCCAAGGGAAGTACGGGCTGGTGGTGTGGCGCCCGCGGGCACCATGTTGGGGAACCCTGAATCCTATCCGATCTCAGCTGCCATTTGAAGGCCCTTTCCACCGCCATACACCTTCCATGCCTGGGTCCCTCTTTTGTCCCCTGAATGCCCACCTCCACAGCAGATCTCAGGGTCTCCGAAATGCATACAGGCACGGCAGCAGAAGGAGGGCAGGCCGCCTCTATTACCTGGCTCCCAGAGCCGGGGCAGGCCGCAAAATCCACTGCGTGCCCACGGAAGCCTGTGCCCAGGATTGAACTTTGTCATAGGGTTGGCAGCCTCCAGGCAGGGCCCAGAAGTCTCCCCTTTTTACAACTCACCTCCAGCTGACAGAGACCAGCTCCCCTGGAGAAAACGGCTGCTTTGGAGGGTGGACTCTGTGGCTTTGTATCCTGCCGAGACCCCTCCCCCAAACCCGCCCTCTCCCGGCTCCACCCCCAAAGTCTCCAGGAATTTTCCAACTCAGGCCTGGCACCCCTGCTTGCTTGGTCTTAGAGGTGCCCTCGGACTCAGACTCTGTTCAGATGTGAAACAGGGACGCTGGTTAGAGCTGATGGAGATGCTTCCGGTCCGGCTCCGGGCCCGTCTCCTGAGGGCAGCTGCCCTTTGCCTTCCTCCCCCAGGGCTACCAGTGGCTGAAGGAGAAGCTCCAGAGCGAAGACGGGAAGAAGCAGCAGGCCAAAGTGAAGGAGCTGCACCCCATCGCCGAGCGCCTCGGCTGCACGGTGGCGCAGCTGGCCATTGGTGAGAGCGGGCGGTGGGGGGGGGCGCGGGGGCCCGGGCAGGGCAGAAAGGGGGCCTCTGGGGTGGGATTGCGTAGGGCTTAAACCAGGGCAGGGGCCCCGGCCCAAAACAGTCCAGTGGCACCTTTAAGACCATGTTTTATTCAGGTACAAGCTCTCCCTCCTCTGCGAGGGCAGATCTGCACGTCCCGTCCCCCCCCGCCAATAGCTAGCAATCCAAAACAGTCCAGTGGAGACCGAGCAGTGGGTGTTGCCTTCTGGCACACTTCCAGTGATGTCAGGGGGTGTGGCATATGCAAATGAGTTATGCTAATGAGTTTGTGCACCTCTTTTTCTACGAAATGACCCCTGCACCAGGGCACCCACAAAGAGTGGGGGAGAAAACCAAAACCAAGCAAGCAAAAACCTCCAAAGGAAGTTCAGAAAACTACCAAAGGGCCAAAAGTTTTAAAAAGTCAGTAGGTATAGACCAGGGGTGGCCAAACTGTGGTTCGGGAGCCACATGCGGCTCTTTCACACCCATTGTGCGGCTCCCGGCAGGGCGGCTGGGGAAGCTTTCCCTCCCTCCTGTCAATTTGCTTTCTTTGTTTCTCCCTCTCCCTCTCTCCCTCTCTCTTTCCACCTCCTTCCTTCTTTCTTTCCACCTCTTTCTCTCTCTTTTTCTTAGACACATAGATATCATAAGCAAATAAATACCATTGGACAAATAAATACCATTATCAGTAACCGTTTTTACCCTTTTCGTTTTTATTTTTGGCAGTCTCGTTTAACGTTAGTGAAAGGCAAATGTGCATATTTTAAAAATAAAAACGTGTGTAATATTCGTTCACGTTTTGTGGCTCTCAAACGCCGGACGTTTATTCGATGTGGCTCTTACACTGCGCAAGTTTGGCCACCCCTGGTGTAGACAAAAGAACATGTGTTTATTTCAAAAATATATTTAAAAACTTGTAGGGGCCCAAATAAAGCCTCATAAAACAATCAAAGTGACCAATGCACAAAAAGAGACATCTATGACCTGATGCGTTCCGGCCCACAAGAGCCTTCTTCAGAGGTCAAATAGTACAGAATACAACATGCAACAAAGCCCCTAACGGGTACATATTGATGTTACATTGGCCCTGATAAGGCAATTTTACTCTTAGGACCTAAAGTGGAAGGTACATATTGGCACTGTGACTATCTCCAGTATATGCCATCGCTTCTGACACAAGGCCAGATACATTTGTGGCCCCACAAACACATTTTTTTGTGCGTCATTCGATTCCAGATTGGAACATTCCATTTTTGGTCCTATATCAATCATTTAGTGCCTCACAAGCAGTGTTCCCTCTAAGCTGAATCAGTGTGAGCTAGCTCACAGTTTTTTAGCCTCCAGCTGACACATTTTTGTCTCCGCTCAGGAAGGATGGGGCTCCAGAGCAAACTAATTTATGCAGCAGCCACATCGCTGGCTCACAACTTTCATGCCAGGAGCTCAGAAAGCGGAATTTTTGCTCACAAGACTCCACAGCTTAGAGGGAGCCTTGCTCACAAGTGCAACAGGGGCTTTGTGGATGCTGTATTCTGTACTATTAGACCTCTGCAGCAGGGGTAACAGCGTTCCGTGCGCCTTGGTGTTTAGTCATGCCGGCCACATGACCACGGAAACGTCTTCGGACAGTGCTGGCTCTTCGGCTTGGAAACGGAGATGAGCGCCGCAACCCTAGAGTTGGATTCGACTGGCTTTTGAGCAAGTGAACCTTTACCTTTACCTAGCAGGGGTAAAATGGGTGGGAGAGGCTGTGTAGAGATTAGGGGGAGAGGTTGTGGTGGCTCAGTGCTAGAGCCTCTGCTTGGCATGCAGAAGGTCCCAGGTTCAATCCCCGACACCTCCACTTAGAAGGACCAGGCGACAGGTGATGGGAAAGCAGGTGACCGAGAGGCGCTGCCCGTCTGAATAGGTAGTATCGAGTCCTTTGATAGAACAGTGTCAGGAAGCTTCAGGTATTCAGGTGTCTGGGTCCCATCTCAGTAGTGGGGTCTGATGCTGTTAGCAGGCGGGAAGGGAGACAAGCTTTTCTGTGGCCACAAAAAGGATGTGGATGAACATTGCTTAGAAATTGGAAGATAGTTTCCAAAGGCTAAAAGTGTGCAGCTATCTGGGTTTCTCTTCCTCACTGATCCGTGAGAGGAAAGAACTGCTCTGGTCTGGCCAGTCTGGATATATTGGCAAGGAATTCTCTGCAGTTGTCCTTCCGATGCTGGACCTTCTGAGGCAACTTCAGGGGAAGGCCTCAGCCTCTATCTAGGCCCTGTTGCTGGCCCTCCAGAGGAACTGGTTGGCCACCGCGTGAGACAGGAGGCTGGAGTAGATGGACTCTCACTGGTCTGAACCAGCAGGGCTCTTATATACTTATGAAGGCCTCTATTCCCTGTTGTTGGCCCTCCAGAGGAACTGGTTGGCCACTGGGTGAGACAGGATGCTGGACTAGATGGATCCTCACTGGTCTGATCCAAGAGGGCTCTTCTTAGGTACTTGTGAAGGCCTCAGCCTCTCTGCCCTGTTGTTGGCCCTCCAGAGGAACTGGGTGGCCACTGCGTGAGACAGGATGCTGGATGGACCACTGGTCTGACCCAGGAGGGCTCTTCTGATGCTCTTATTAGGGGAAGGTCTTGGCCTCTCTGCCCTGTTGTTGCCCCTCCAGAGGAACTGGGTGGCCCCTGGGTGAGACAGGAGGCTGGACTAGAGAGATCCTCCCTGGTCTGATCCAGCAGGGCTCTTCGGAAGTTCTTATCAGGGGAAGGTCTTGGCCTCTCTGCCCTGTTGTTGGCCCTCCAGAGGACCTGGTTGGCCACTGCGTGAGACAGGAGGCTGGACTAGAGGGACCCTCACTGCTCTGACCCAGCAGGGCTCCTCTGGTGTCCTTATGTTCTTCCTTCTCTCTTGTCTCCTCCACCCCCACAGCCTGGTGCCTGCGTTCGGAAGGGGTCAGTTCTGTCCTCCTTGGCGTCTCCAGCACCGATCAGCTCATTGAAAATTTGGGATCCATCCAGGTAAGGAGAAAGCCAAGTCGTTCCAGCCGTGCCTTGAGCCGATCGATCGACTGCTGCCAATCTCTGGCTTTACAGTGACCATTTTACATTTAAAGAAAAAAGAGAGGAGCAAAAAAACAAACAAAAAACCCCCGACCCTAAGGATTTGAGTTTTCCTTTACTAAAATCCACATGAAAAGTCTTCGGCCAACTGTGAGGGAGAAAGAAGGGATTTAACCCCTTTCTCTCCACTTGGTTTCACTATTAGAGACCAGCTCTGTGACGGCTATTAGCATGTGAAAGGAAGCCGAAGGGTTAAACCTCCTCTGTCTTCCCCGAATGGCTCCAAGGCAAGCTGAGGCGGCACTTTTCATTTTAAGAACAGAACGAGGCTCGCGACTAAGTGAATCCTAAGAGAAGGGGACTCAGAGTCGCATACTGACATCTGCATTTTCTCCTAATGGATACCATCTCTCTTTAACAGGTTCTAACCCAGCTGACGCCCCAAGTCGTCCAGGAAATCGATGCGCTTCTGGGTAACAAACCCAATACAAAAAAAGAGTCCCGGGCGTAGGGACACTGTGGCGCCCGGGACTGTGCACGCTGTTGTCCCAACGGACTGCATCTCCTTCCGCTCCTCCGTGGGGCTCCTGTCCCCGCCCACCTGCTCCTCCCCACGGGCTCTTCACCAGCTGCTGCCTCTTAATTTTGTGGGGAGGGCAAGGAGGAGCCGCTTCGCGCATGAACCAAATATCCGTGTACTTCCATGTCGGATAAAGCGGGAGGGGCGGGATTGGGGGCTGCCCTGCCCTGTGGCGGCTGCTTAGATTACAACACAACTATATGGCATGAGCAACTGAGCTACGGGGCTGGCGGGTGAAAGGCCCTGCCCCCTGCTAAGGCCGGAACTACCAGCCGCTTTGCCTCTCTTTCCATATCAATACGCCTGGTTTTTTAAAGGGGCAGGCACTCTGCCACAAGGGAAAGGGGGAGGCCGTTGGAAAATAAGCACAAAATCGGTTTATATGGCAACAATTCACCTTCCTCGATTCATCGCTCGCGTTGCGGTTCCGCATACGGAGTTGCGTTACTCCGTATGCCTCTTTATTTTTCTTTCTTTCTCTCGATCGTGTATTTTTTTTATTTGTGGGATTCCTGATGGTCGTAAGGATTCCCAGGGACAAGGAGTAAGGAAGAAGGAGGTGGAAGATGTG